CACGTTCCACATACTGTCAGCCAGGCTTCAGGAGAGCGTGTGCACAGTGTGTGCCTGTAGATGAACCGTGTTCCTGTACCCTGAGCACACGTTCCGCATACTGTCAGCCAGGCTTCAGGAGAGCGTGTACACGGTGTGTGCCTGTAGATGAACCGTGTTCCTGTACCAATTCTTTACCTCCAAATGCAAAGAAATACGCATAAGTTATGTATAAATATGCGGAAGTGCTCAGTAATTTATGCAAACTGTATGGATTATATATAATGGGAACCTAGTTAAAAATCCACAACATATCTGTAACATATTCTTGGTAATAGAAAAAATATACTACTATGGTGTTTAAATTGCATTGATGTGTATTTTTACACATTGTTAAAAATGACAAAACCATGTTTCAGCACATCTTTCAAGTCTATAACTTATCTACCATAAAAGCTATCTTTTTTTGCTAGGTAACTCATTGATGAGAGTATCTTACTGGATCATGCAAATCCATTACTGTTGTTGAAAAAAGTTTCTCTTTTAAAAATAGTTTAAAATTCATGTTTGACTGATATGAACAGCTTCTGAATCTAGGACGGCTAGTAGAACTTTCTTCTTAGGTAATGTTAAAAGTACAATGTTCAGTTCTTTTAATTCATCATCTATTCAGTTTGCAAACATCTGCTAAGCATGTGTTAGATAACTCAATAGCAGACTCTGCAGATAGAAAGAAAATTAAAACACTTTCCCTGCCATCAGAGTCTATTTGGGGAGTTATATGTGTAAGAAAATACATTTCCAAGCCGACTAGTAGCTCTTGAAACAGAGGTTTACATGGTAGGAATTGTCCATTCTTGGGGAGGGGCTGATGGTCAGAAAATATGACCTTGGACCAGGGATCTGAAGAATGAGTGTGGATTCACCTGACAGCTCAGGGACTGAGGGTGGCATTTCAGGAAATGGGAGCAAAGTGCAGACTGGTGTGTGGAACAGGGCCCTCTGAAGAGTTTGGCAGAGTCGTAGTGCAAGAAGATTCACGTCACGGGGCTTTGTGTGCCTTGACAGAAGAGCTTTGTCTTTGACCCACACTCCACGGAGACTTATTGAATGGTTTCGATATGGAACATGATGAGGTTTGTGTTTAAGGCAGATGACCTGGACAGCAGCATAGGGAGTGTGTGGGAATGGGTGAGATGGAAAGCGCACAGTTGGGAGACCGTTAACAGTTGTTTAAACAGAAGTGATGGGTGCCTGAATTAAGCGGTGGCAGTAGGGGTGGCAGGGAAGGTGGGCTTGAGAGAGATTTAGGAAACAGAATCCACAGGCCTGGGTGACCACATGATTGTGGAGGATGAGGAAAAAAGAGGAACAAAGATAATTTTCAGGTTTCTGATTAAACGACAAGGTAGATGGCAGTGCCGCTATCCCTGTGAGGAGCAGCAGTTTGGGGAAGAATAATATGTTTATTGTGGACATGGTGAATCGAGCACGCCCACGAGGTAATCAGTGTGAGGCTAAAATTCAGTAAAGGGTTGACAATGAGAAATACAGATTGAAAAGCAATCAGCAAACATCCGGAGGTGACAGTCTCAGAGCTGGAGTTTACTGCCCAGGAGAGCCCACTGAGTGAGGAGAGGAAGCGGCCAGGCACTGAGTCCTGGAGTGAGGCCGTGTTTGGACGACTGGGAGAGGAAGGGCTCCAAGCAGCGTGTGGGAGGCGGTCAGAGAGCTGAGTGAGGACCAGGATCTCAGCACGTGTTGGTGGTGTCGCACGCTGGCAAGAGCGAGTGAGGAGGAAAAGGTTTAACAAATAATATTCGACAAACACTATTGAAGTACCTGCGTTAGTTTCCTAGGGCCTACGTAATGAATTACCACAGAGCAGGTGGCTTAAAACGACATCTGTTCTCTCAGGGTGATGGGGCTGGAGTCCAGAATGGCTGTCGGCAGGGCCCGGCTCGTCGGCAGCCTCCAGGGGAGAGTTGTGTCTTGCCTTTTCCAGCTTCTGGTGCGGCCCCAGGCGTTCCTTGGCTTTGGGCAGTGTAACTCCAGCCTCTGTCTTCAGTGTCTCTGTGTCCTCCCCTTTTCTTACGAGGACACCAGTCACGATTTGGGACTCACCCTGAATCCCGTGGGGTACCATCTTGAGACCCTTAACTAAATCGGAGTCTGATTTCCAAGAAGGTCACATGCTGAGGTTCTGGATGGACATGGATTTGGAGGGGGGCACTCTTAAGCCCACTACAGTACCATTTCATGATCTTTAGAAAATAGAAAAGAAGTTTTTTAATTTCTGTCTTTTCTCAAGTTCATAATCCTTTGGAAAAGAGATTTTTTCATACGGGAAACAATTTGAGAGCAATACAGCACGTTATATAATAGGGTGCTAAACTTGAGTATAATTGTCCAAATGTACACCAGATTGCTTTCGCAAGTTTAAACAGTGTAAAGAAAGAACACTGTTCTCTTTCGCTACACATGTAACAAATAATAAAAATTTGCACTGTTTGGTTTTGACTCTGTAGGTGGCAGGGCGGAAGGAACCCTCCGCTCCACTAAGAGTGAAGAGTCTCTCACTTCTCTCCATGCGGTTGATGGTAAGACTAAAAGTATCCATCGTTTTATTGTATAATGTATTCATAAAAGAACACAGCAATTGAGTATGTTTTATAAATATACACTTAATAAATAAGCTATAGACTGTTATTTCCTAAGAATACCAGTATCTACATAGTATTGTTTAGCTTAAAAGTCTGTGATGTTTCAATATGGTACAGTCTTCAATCTTTTGGCATGATTGTTACTCAGTTTACATAAAAACAGTTGAAATGTTTTAGGTTAACCATTTATATTTATTAATGCCTATTGAAAACCGCTATTATTAGTGTTTCCTTCTTTAGATTCATAATGTGAGCACAGTATTATAAAGTGTAAAATAAAGCCGCTTTGATGTCTAAACCAGTGGTTGGTTGTCATGGAAATGGCTCATCATGATGCTAAGTTTCGTAGGGCGGAGTTACGATGGGAAGGCCTCGCCATCTGGATGATGAGTACAAGGAAAAGTGAACCCACTTACAGTGGGGCCAGAATTGCAGAGCAGATAGTTGATTGCAACTTAATTTGAAAAGCAAAACTAAAAAATTTTGAAAACAAATTTATTTTAGCTTTAGCAAAAGTTGGATTATAGTTGTGTCTATGTACGAACTTTTAGAATTAGAAAAGAATAACTTCAGTGTTGATTTGGAAGGGGATATAATTTTTTTTTACAGAACTATGGAATAGCAAAAGAGGACATGCTTCACTGGTTTCCCAAGGGCTTTTTCCCTAAGTCCTTCGATACCCAAAATGATACGTTTTGCATGATCCTGGGGTCTCACTGTCCTGGCCAGTTCTTTCATCTTCGTTTATTAACTGTTCTAACTGCCAGACCCGCAGTGATCAGTGGCTTTGCTTGTGACTGAAGAACGTCTCCTACATCACCTTGTATGAGTGACTGACATTTTACAAGTTTTCCAAGATTTTCACTTCACTGCAGTCAAGAGAAGGATCTATAAAAACAGTGCAGTGGGCTGGGCAGATGCTAGTAGTGTTAAAGCAGAAAATAGTATTTGAATAGGTATTAATTTTATAAGTGGTCAATACATTAGTGACTGTATTTATGGTAAGACAGCTCCTGCCTCTGTATTATATTTTCGTCATGGCAGTTGTAATAATTCTAATAGAATATTCAGAAGACTTCTTTTACCAGTGGCTATTTCTCAACGTCATAAAACGGTAACGCACTCTACCACTGTCGAGGGCTCTGCCTGAGAAACTTAAAGCCTGTTCTTTTTAAGGGGGGAGAAATAAATTATTTTTGTTTAAGTATCTGAAAGGAATTCTTTACTAAATACGCGTAAATACCTTATGGGGTTGTGGAGGTTTTTTAATCAAGAAGTTCAGTGTTTTAGAAATGTGCACGTGAGGATGTTTCCTCATGAAACCAAAAAAGAAATGTAGAACTAAAACCACGCCTTTTGCTGGTGCGCATCCAAAGTGCTGCAGTGAAACCTGTGAGAGCTTTTCCGGGTCTCGCAAGTTTTCCGCCTTTGACAGGGTGCAGTCTTACAGCTTTTCTGTCACTCGTTCTAGTGCAAAATATTTCGAGTTTTTATTCTCCAACGGAGTTCTGCCTTACACAGGTTCCAGCTTTCACAGGTTTTAAAATGATTAATTCCACCTCACAATTCACGTGTGAGGTCAATGATAAAATAAGATACAAAGAAATAAAAACTTGCCCAAAGTCACAAAAATAGTCAGTGTTGGACTAGTGATAGAATCCGAGAGCTTGGAGTCTTATTTTCCTATCCAAACCATCAAATGCTACAGTGTCCCTATGATTATATCGAACGTGTTTCTTACTTAGAATCTGGTCTGGGAGTTCTGTTATTTCAGGTTTAAATGATCCGTGTGTACCACGAGACAGTTACCAGGAGGAAAAGAGAAGTAACACTTTCTTACTCCGCATAGTTAGCTGCTCCTGTACTGTCAGGGGACGTGGCATGATGTTGTGTGTCTTTTAACACTCATACTGCAATGTTGTATCCATTTCACCAGGTGATTCCAAGTTGTTCCGACCCAGAAGACCCAGATCTAGCAGTGACGCCCTGTCTGCTTCTTTTAATGGAGAAATGCTGGGGACCCGCTGTAATTCGTACGATAACCTGCCCCGTGACGATGAAATTGAGGAGGAAGTAGGGCTGCCCCACATCCCCGTACTCATGTCTCCTCAGTCAGCTGAGGACGTTGACTTGAGCCCACCAGACATTGGAGTGGCCAGCCTGGATTTCGATCCAATGTCATTTCAATGTAGTCCTCCCAAGGCCGAATCCGAATGTCTGGAAGGTGGGGCTTCCTTTTTAGATTCTTTAGGATACTCCAAGGATAAACCGAGTACCAGTCAGAAGGATGCAGAGGGAGGTGGTAGCCAGTCTCAGACTCCAGGAAGCACTGCAAGCTCTGAGCCTGTCTCCCCTCTTCAGGAGAAACTGAGTCCGTTCTTTACCCTGGACTTGAGCCCAGCAGAAGATAAGTCCTCTAAACCATCCTCGTTCACTGAAAAGGTCGTCTATGCTTTCTCTCCAAAGATAGGACGGAAACTAAGCAAGTCCCCTTCTATGAACATATCGGAGCCCATTTCAGTGACCCTACCCCCTCGGGTGTCAGAAGTCATCGGTGCCGTCTCAGATACAGCAGCTCAGAATGCATCTTATCTAACCCGGAACAAAAACGTGGAAGAAAGTGATGTCACAAACAGATCCCCCACCCAGGTAGTAAGGATGAAAAAAGGCGAGCGAGAAGCCCAGGAAGGAGGTGAACCTGACGTCCAGACCCTGGACCAGGTGGCTGTGGAGGAGGTGGCCTTGCCAGAGAGCGAGGAGCAGGCCATCCTGAGTGCTCAGAGTCAGGCTGTACCTGCTGGACAGGCACAGACAGGTACCGTGTGTTTTCCTCCGTTCTTGCTCTAAGTGTGTGCCGCCTGTGCCTTTAAGAGAGGGATGTGCTGCAAAGCTAGCCTGCAATCAGAGAGAGCGCTTTTCTGGGTGGTGCTGATGGCGCAAAGCCCTACGTTAAAAGCGGTCAAACAAATCCCCCAAAGGGCCACTGGCCCCACTTCAAAACTTCATAAAATCCCCTTATCTCTTTGAACAGTCAGAATTTGTGGAAAATCTTTGCACGACTTCATAGCTCTTGATTCTGTTTTCTCTTCCAATAAAATGCCTATATGATAGCCTTACAAGTTAACAGGCAAGCCCGCACCATCAAATGTCAGAAACTATTCGTAATAACAATCTGCAAGCACTTGACGCTTGTTTTCTGAGCAGTCTTTTCTGAGCCAGGCAAGGGGTCTGCCTTCCCCCCGTCTCTCTGGCAGGTCTGGAGGAAACTGAAATCGCTAAGTATTCTTCTAGTTTTCCTTCTGAACCCGATGGGTTTTCTCCAGCATTTGCATGTGGGATAGAAGATCATGGATTGCCATTTTAAAATCTGGAAAGCACCTGTTTTTTAATGATTGGATGGGGAATGTTTGGCTTTCCATATAGGATAACATAAGCTACTTTTTCACTCTGATTTTTTTTCCCAATTTCCCACTAGGAGCAGTTACCCATGGCCCCCCTCAGGATTCCGTTCCTGTCAGTTCAGTCTCTCTTATCCCACCTCCACCGCCTCCGAAAAATGCTGCCCGCATGTTGGCGCTAGCATTAGCTGAGTCTGCACAGCAAGCTTCCACTCAGTCCTTGAAGAGACCAGGGAATTCGCAGGCTGGTTACGCAGATTATGGAGACATGGCAGTGGCCACGGCTGAAGAGAAACTGCCCAGTTCCTACCCTAGCGTTACCCTAGATAAGGCCTATTACCAAACCCACGTTCTGGTAGAGCAGTTCCACCTCCAGCACAGTGCGTCTGGGAACTGTGGGCAGCCTGCACCAGAGCCAGCAGCTCTTGGGGGTCACACCCATTCCACTGCAGCTGAATCTGGGGAGCCACTTCACCAAGCAGACTCCCCAGGGAATCTGCTGCAGCGAACCTGTTTATCTGGGGACCCAGGACAGGCCCGAATCCCTGCACTCCCCTTAGCAGACTCAGAGAAGCCTAGTGACCATGTGTGTTTCCCTGGAGAGCAGCCTGGGAGGCCCAGCATGCCAGCTGTCCCCTTTGTGGACCAGGACCCTTCTCACCTCCATGTCTGCAGTGGAGACCAGCCTCCCCCTCATCTTGGCGCAGGGGTGGATAGGCCCCACCAAGATGCAGAACTCGCAGACTCCTCTCCCGCTCCTCATCTGCCTCGGGACAAAATCTACCCTCTTTCTGGGTCCCCTGAAGAAAATAGCAGCACAACCACCCTGGCTCCTGTGACAGCTGTTCCAGCAGCAGCAGAAGTCAGCAGCAGGGAAGCTGGCTGGAACACGGCTGAGCAGCCCGCTGCCGCCAGCTTCGCTGTGGCCACGCTTCAGCACACGCACAGGACTAGCCGTCCCCTGCCCCCACCTCCTTCCCAGAGGCCTGCAGAGCTGCTACCAGCCGTGGGGCAGGTACAGGCGGCTGCCAGTGGAGGACTAACTAATTCCCACAAGGTAAGACGGGGGAGCAGGCACGGGAGATGAAGTACCCCTTTTCCAGAGGCATGTCATTTTTCACCAGGGTGTATCAGATGTGACATTTAGTTTTCAGTCTGTGGCAGGTTTCCGTTTGAGGTTGGAATCTGCCATTGTAACCTCTGAGAAAGCAGCAGTTAGTTAATGAGTGTAGTTTAACTCTGTCTGAAGGGTCCCGGTCATTTCTTCATAATAACACAAAGATTGGGATTGGGTGAGTCAAATCGGGAAAGGTGTCGGAGTTGCGAGGTTTGCTTTCAGCTCCATCACTGACTTACTGTGACTTTGGGCAAGTCACCTACCCACCTCTGCTGGTCATTCACATCCACACAATGAGAATACTTGACTTGTGAGACGTTTGTAAGACTCTGCCTTGAAGACTTGTTAGACACGGGAGAGATTACAGTGTCTGAGGACTTCTCGTTATTTTCCCAGCATTAATCAGCAGATTGTCACATAGTCAAGTGCCTGTTTTGATAAGATAGTGATGAATGTTATTTGCACAGTACTAAGCTTCTTAATTTTCCCATTTTTAGAAAAAATGCCACAAGGTTCTTGTAGTCACCTCGAAGTAAAAAGGCTTTACTTTCTGGTCCTCAGTGGATCATGCTGTTCCTCGCAGACACCTTCCAGGGCCAGCATATTTGCAGCATTGCTGTGGGATCGTTTGGCCTCTGCTTCCACAGACCAGGATGGAGTAGGAGGCGGGGGACTGAGAGCATCCTCTGATTTGAATCCACCTTGGACGAGTCACTTCCCGGCCTTCCCTATACTTTGGGGTTCATAACTGCTCACTGTGGGCAACTCTGAGTCATTTCAAAAATCCCTCGAGATTAAATCAACTCTTTATTTAACAAAATGCTCTTGGGTTGAGACTGAGCTAGACAGATTGACTGGGTATATATTTTTAACCCTTTCATGACTTGTGGAATGTGTGGTGCCCCACCCACTTTAAGCCTCTAGAGTTCTTTGGGAGTATACTTCTCCTGCTGAAAGTATTTGCTTCCCTCTAGTGGGGACTTGTGTAATGGAGAAAGGCTAAAGAAATGGTCATTGAAGCAAAACAGCTGGGCTATTAGGCAAAACCATAGGTGCCCCGTGTATCCAAATGGAAGGCACCCTGCAATAAAGCCTGCTACAGGCTCCCACAAATCATGTATTTTCATATGCTATTTCTCAAAATCTATATCACCAACCAAAAATTTAAACACACTCAGTGGTTGGGCATGCATTCCACTACAAAAAGACATGGTACTAACAAAAAATTCAAAGCAGAAAATAATTGGGTCTTGAAAGGGTTAAGCTTAACAGAGTTTTTTGGCCAAACTCCTTTTTTGGACCAGACAGTAAGAAAATGTCGTTGGCAGCCTCGTCTCCCATTACAACCTATCATAGATTAGAACACTGTCAACACTCTCCAAAGACGGCTGTTGCACCAAATAGCAACACAGGACCGCGTTCCTGGTGTGGGGCAGGCCGGCCCACTGTCCTGTCCAGTGTGACCACGTGGCTTGGGAAAATTCAGGCTGCTACCCAAATAGTGTCAGCGTATGAGTTACAGATGCACTAGTGTCTGACCCCGTGGAGAGAGCGTAGGGGACAAACCGGCCAATTCTTCTGTTATCTTCCATCAGGTTCCGCGAGTAGCTCCAGCTCCAGAGAAGCCACCTGAGCCTCGAGCCGTGGATGAGCCTGTGTCTGTCTTCGTCAGCGATGGCAGTGCGTCTGCTCAGTGTACCATCTCTGCGCCCACTCTCCACCCCGGCCTCCCTGACAAAGCCTGGGAGGGCGCCAGGGCCCCCCTGCTGCACCTGCAGGCCGAGTCTGTTCCTGGGCACCCCTCCTGCGGCTTCACTGCTCCTGGGCCCCCCACCGGGACCGTGGAGGGTAAGATTGATGCTGCCAGACACGCCAACAGTGCAGATGCTCCCAGCAGTTCAAATTATCACACCTTCGTCACTGCTGCTTCAGCCTCTCTGGATGATGGTTTGCTTGCACAGCATCCTGTCCCACAGCCTAAGCACGCTTCTCAGAAAACAGCTTATTCCTCCTTTGCTAGGCCTGATGTCACCATTGAGCCCTTTGGTCCAGAAAACAGTTTGCATTTCAGTATGACTCCAAACTGCCAGTACCGCCCCCAGAGTGTGCCCCCACACCATAACAGACTGGAGCATCTCCAAGCCTACGGCTCCAGGTCAGAGCCGTCGGCCTCAGTAGGGCTTCGTTACAACACTTACGTGGCCCCAGGAAGAAGCTCGTCTGGACACCACGCCAAGCCGTGCAGCCGGGTGGAGTACGTGTCCTCTCTGAGCAACTCTGTTAGAAGCGCTTGTTACCCTGAGGACATTCCACCCTACCCTACCATCCGGAGGGTGCAGTCTCTCCATGTCCCCCAGGCTTCCATGATTCGCTCTGTTCCTATTTCACGAACAGAAGTCCCCCCGGATGATGAACCAGCCTACTGCCCGAGACCCCTGTACCAGTATAAGCCATATCAGTCTTCCCAGGCCCGCTCAGATTATCATGTAACTCAGCTTCAGCCTTACTTTGAGAATGGCCGGGTCCACTACCGGTACAGCCCGTATTCCAGCTCTGGTTCCTACTACAGCCCGGGGGGGGCGCTGTGTGATGTGGACGCCTACGGCACAGTGCAGCTGAGGCCTCTGCACCGCCTCCCCAGTCGCGACTTTGCCTTCTGCGACTCTAGACTGCAGGGGAGGAACGCGTCCAATTACCCTGGTTTGCCCCCACGTCCCCGGGCCAACGTGCTTGGCTGTTTTTCTGGTGATGACCACAGTGTAGTCAACATGCCTCCAGCCACTGACATAAAGCACACGTACGCCTCATGGGATCTTGAGGACATGGAGAAATACCGCCTGCAGTCCATCCGGAGAGAGAGCCGCGCTCGGCAGAAGGTGAAGGGGCCTGTCATGTCCCAGTATGATAACATGACCCCGGCTGTGCAAGAGGACCTGGGCGGGATCTACGTCATCCACCTTCGCAGTAAATCCGATCCTGGGAAAACTGGACTTCTGTCCGTGGCAGAGGGAAAGGAGGGGCGGTTCCCAGCCAAGGCCGTGAGTCCTCAGGGAGATGACCGCTTCCCCAGGAAGCACCCCGAGCCCGAGTTAGAGAGAGCCCCCCACCACGGGGGGTATGGCGCTGGGCAGCCAGAGAAGCCCTCCCTCCCCCAGAAGCAGAGCAGCCTCAGGAACAGAAAGATTCACGACATGGGCTGTAGTCTCCCTGAGCATAGGGCACATCTGGAAACAAGCCATAGGCAACTCTGCGAGTCGAAAAACGGGCCCCCTCACCCCCAGGGAGCTGGCCAGTTAGATTATGGGTCCAAAGGAGTTCCAGACGCTTCGGAGCCAGGCAGCTACCACAGCTCTGGGGTAGCATACGTGACCTCAGGGCAGGAGTCTCTAAGACGGAACCACAGAGACGTGAGGCTCTTCAAAGAGCTGGAGCGGCCCCGGGCCAGGCGGCCCACTGCCCCCGAGAGACACTCCAGAGACTGCTACAAGGAAGAAGAGCACCCGGCGCCAGCTGTGCTCCCGCCCCCGAAGCCGGAGAGGAGTCACAGCCTGAAACTCCACCACCCCCCGAGCCTGGAGCGGGAGCCCGGCGTGCTGTTCCAGTACCAGATGCCGGGCAAGCGCCAGGGTGGTGCCACCATTGTGTCCCAGTACGACAATCTGGAGGTCTACCACTCCCTGCCGCAGCACCCGCGGGGTGTGTTTGGAGGAGGGGGCGTGGGGACATACGTGCCCGCCGGCTTTTCCCACCCACAGAACAGGACATATGCCACAGCTTTGGGCCAGGGGGCCTTCCTCCCCACAGAGCTGTCCCTGCAGCCCCCTGAGACCCAGATCCATGCCGAGTGAGCCTGAGCAATAGAGTTGAAGCAGCCTCTGCTGGGCAGTGGACTGCTCTATTTTTTTCAGTAACCAAAAGAATTAAAAAAAAAAGCCCAACTACAAATTCCCAACCACGTTAAAAAAATTAAAAAACCTAACAAATCGGCATCTCGCAACCTCCCCGCCCCCACTTCATTGCCACCTCTTCCATCTACAGACTGCATCATGTTGTCATTAAAAGAAATTGGAATGATTGTAAAGCACTGTGTTGAAAATCTAGTAGAGAAATTTGTCACAGACCACACCTGCCAGACAGGGCTAATTTGCAAGAGCCTGAGGGCTGCCTTCACCTGAATTTGAACTTGACCTTCTCGTTTCTTAGTATTTGCTGTGTAGTTCCCAGCAGTTGACATCTGTTTCCTGGTAGGCTTTTGCGTTTACCATTGGGTTCCCACCTGCTTCTGTGTCATGCTGCTTTCCCAGAGAGACACTCCGTTTTTCTTACTTCATTATCCCGTGTCTTCTGAGGGTCTTGTGTGTTAAACTAGAGTGGACAAGACCTTTCCCTGGCCCTTCCGATACGCCAGTTGGACATTTCACAACTATTATAAGTAAAGAAATAAGAGAATTAAGACTTCAGATTAAACATTTGATGAGGAAGGTTGTTTCCAGTATCCCTTAAAATGTCAGACCATCTAGACCCAAGCTGAACCATACTCTTTACATTCAAACTGGTTCCCTCCAAGTCGATGTACAGGCTCACATCACTGCAGAAGAGATTGTTTTACGTTTAAGGAAACTTCTTAGGTGGAAGAAAATAAAGTCCTTATTGTCAGCGAGCTTTGTTAGCATCGGAAAGTGAAACACGTTTACTGTGTTTCTTACCTTCAGGGTGGTTTTGTTGGTTTGCTTCTCTCCCTATAATTGGTAAATTGAGATCCTAGTAAAACATTTCATACCGTTTGTTCTCCTAAAGCAACTTACTTTCGTAAAGAAAAAAAACAAAAACCAGCAGGATGGTTTGACTGGATAGACTGTTATTACAAATTTACATGTTAATTTGTTTCTAAACCAGAGCACAGGTTCCCTGTGAATTCTTAAAGTAGTTACTAATTATCTGTTAGTAATCCTAAATTACTACAATAACCCCTTAGCACACAGGAGGACCCTTTCTCCAGTTGGAATTCCAGGCAGTTACCGTTTAAATGGTCAGTAATTACATGTGTTTGTTCTCTGTGTACTCGTGTGATCACAGTTTTATTGTAATTGCCATTTACACCAGCATTTCAGGTCTAGCTCTTCATAGACATATTAAACATGTTGAACGCCCAGGATTTTCTTCTGAAAGTCACGTTCCTTATTACAGTAGGACAGGACACCTCTCTAGCCCAGCTCCGTTCAGTTGTCTTAATTCACCCCATCACCAATATGCCAGGTTAGCGGTGCAATCCTGTATTTACAAAATGAGTTTGCATATTTATAAAATGCAATTGTCATTGCATTCCGTAAGTCTTAATAAGGCTTGAGTTTTCGACATGACCATATTTTAAGTGCTCAGTTTGTAGAAGACACTAGAAAAAGTTCATTCCATGTACTGGATGATTGATTGCTGCTCTGGCTTTTTAAGTCGTGGAATTAACTTATTTAGAGCAAAGGAGGAAAGTTTTGAGGCTAAAATCATGCTGCTGTTATTGCTGTGAAATTGTGTAAAGATTGGGATTCATGCCAGTTCCTTTTTTATTTAAAAAATCGTGTGATTGCATTTTAAGGGTTTATATTTAGAAAAAGAAATAAAGTTTTAAGAACAACAGATTTACGGTATATGTGGAAATAGTCTATAAGGTTGTTTTTGTTTTTTTTTTTTTTTTTTTGTCCCAGAGTTGACCAGAGGGATTCATAGGGTTGTGGCAGAAATTTTGCAACACTAGTGAGAAAAGGTCTGCAGAACTCAGGTCTCTGCCTTGAAAGTGCAGCCCCAACTGGTATATAAGCAAAGCGTGAAGGAAACCCGATCGGATACTTCCATCCAGCACACGAACGCACCAGGTGCTACATACAGGCGTTTGATCTGTGGTGAATATGCAACACTAATTTTTTCACCTTAACCATCTTTTTGTCCAGTAAGCCCCTCTGAGATCACACCAGCCCTGTAAGTACTCACCAGCAGCCTGGAGACAAGAAAGGGCTGCTGGGAGCAGCAGATGCACGCGGCTCTCGGGAGCTGAGAGCCCAGAGACAGTGGCTGAAGAAGTCCTGTCCAGTTTTAATATTTGTGGATTTGTTGTCACACACGTTTATCCCTGAAGCTGTAGTCTATATTTACTAACATTAATGCCTCGAAGCGATGTCATATTAATCCTGGGTTTAGAAATATCAGGTAAATATTTTGAGTACAGAACAGAGAGTCAGATTGGTTTAAGTGTGAAACACAAACTCCAGATAAAACCTAGAGTTGTTTCATTAAATGTATGTAGATACAGCCTCTGTGGGGTCAGTTATTTGAAGGACTCTGCCTGTATCTTTCCCTCCCTAATATTGTGGGGTAGAATTGGAGGGCAGATCACTGTGAGCCAGGTTACCTCAGCATCGTTCACCTGTGTGTGACTTCACAAATACAGTAACTGAATGTTAGCACTTGCAAATTTTCACGTGGAGCATTATAATCAAGAAGATGGAGCAGCCTTATGCATTAGACCCAAATTTGATTCTTGATATTTTCGTAGCCGTATCTCCAGAGTTTATCTTCTTTGGCAAAATTCTGATCCCATAGTTTGGTTGAAATAAATATTCCTTGGATGTCTGGCTAGAGACTTTGCTAACAACCCCAGGGGTGTCATTTTTTAATAAATTTCATCTAAGCTGTATTGCTTCCCATATTTAGTTTCGTTTTAAACATGCAAATCCCTGGGAGAGTCCAGGGGTAGGGCCTTCACGTTTCCTATAAAGGCAAAGCAGTTTTTAAAATGTAGGGTCAGGTCGAAAAATTCTAGGACTAATACTTGCTTCTGGAAAGAAGAGGGACCGTTAATGTGAGTGGGGGAGAGAGAGAAGAGTCGGAGGTGGCCTTGGAAGCAGCAATAAACTGCGCACGATGTAGAGCTGAAGTGTGCCCCTTGAGTTCAGTAAGGAGCCTGCAAAGTCCGTTTCTCTGTTCCCAGCCGTGTCAGTCACCCATCCGGGATGTTGGCCAAGTCTCACCTATGCAGAGTGTGGAAGGGAATCATAATGAAAGCAAAAGGATGTCAGAAAGTCACTTCCGAGGGTTAGAGGCATGTGGTTTTCAGTACTGTGTGTTACAGAAATGGCAGGAATGGTGTATTTTAACGAGTGCAAGATATTGTCAGTGTGCACAGAGGGTCTTTTTTCCTTACCCGATTAGTACTGTTAATGTTCAAAGAATAAAAAATGGTTGTTTTGCAGTTTAGATTCTGAGATAGCGAAACCTGATTTTTTTCAGCCATGATCTGCATGAGAGAAGCATCCTAGAAAGTCTTAGCTCATACCTTTGAGTTCTTAACTTTAATTTATATAGTTTTTTTTTTGTTTTAATATTTTTTTGTGAACTGGTGTAAATTGTTAATGCACATAAGCTTGTGTATTTTTGTAAATAATTTTGTGATTTATTTCTTGCCCCATATGTAAATATTTAGAATCTCATTTTTTTTTTCAAACTTATTTGAAGCTGACTTGTGGGTTTTGGGTTTTGTTTGTTTCTTTGTTTTGGTTGGGGAGGGGGAAGGGATTTTGTACTCCGATAATCCAGATGGAGATTCTTGTGGTTTAACACAAATGTCCCACCGAAAGCAATTCAAATATCACAATCATTTCAGGTTAAAACAGACTTCTTTGTGTATGTGTTTCCTTTTTGACTTAATATGAATTAAAACAAATGGGAGTAATTGAATTAGGCTATTTGGACCAAATGACAGGTGTTTGTGTGACACCTTTTATGCCAAATGGTATGTTGAGGGAAGCGGTTAAATGCGTCCTGTTTCTATGTTTTTGCCACGCTGTGCTGCCTGCTACGTGTCCCCCGGGGTCAAACACTGTTACTTTAGAATTCTAGCGTCCTCTCGGTCTGTACTGGAACATAGGCAGACGCCTTCACCCAGGGCTGTACTAAGGAATAGCTGCTGCTGTGCCCTGGCGCCCCAAGCTTGAGGTTCCTAGAAAATGGAATTGGCTTCCTGTCTAAATATTCTCACAAAGCACCTTGGGCATAGCATGTTTACTTTTCAGGGCGAAAGGAGCAAACAAGAATCACTCTTCTAGAATTGCCCCCCTGTAGCGCACTGGCTTGTGGCAAACGCAGGTGCAGACAGCATTCCTGTGAGCTGAGTTGCTGTAGGTCTGAACCTAGTGCTGCAGCAGCCAAGCTCCCCATCGCTAGGCCGTGAGCTTGCTCCTGTGCCGAGGCTCTTCCAGAAGCAATATTTCAGTATCAACCAGGATTTTTAAAAAATGTCAATATCCAGCCAGTAAAATACTGGTTTTCCTACTGGGAATCATAAATTACACATCACTCCTCATTTTTCATGTTAAAGTATTAGAAGCAGATCTCTGCCAGCAATAGGCCTATTTAGTCCAGATGACACAGGGGGAGCCAGCCACCTTTTATATACCTGCATAGCACACTCCAGACTCGAAGCAAAGATAGAACATCTGCTTTCAATAAAAACTCCCATGCCTGAATATGTGTTCCCATGGAAACTCAGCTCAAATGGAATGAAAAGCATGCATGACATTTCCATTGGGTCTTATACCTGATTTTGTGGGTCTCTCATTTACATGCCCACGATTTCATCACCAAATTCCCTTCATACTGGTGAAAATGTAGTTCCTACCTCTGAGAAGGTGTTTACCACGGAGGAATTTGCCAAACTCACTAGTGGAGTTTGAACTTTCAGCTATTTGTAGTTTTACAGGAAAAGGCTCATTTGAAGGTAATGCTGATTTTCCCTATTACACTAAACCTTTGGGCATCTGGAAGTCACCAGAAGTAAGGCATTTCACATGGCCAGGCTGTCCACATCGTGGAGAGAGTAATGCTTCAAAAGAAGAATTTTGAGATGTAGTTTTTAAATACTTGATTAAACTATTTGCAGAATACATGGTAAACCACAAACTTTGCTGCCACTATACTTAAAGGTCCATAATTTATGAAGTACTGTACAGTTATACCCTCAGGGACACACTGAGACGAAAGGAGTGTTTGCGTCTATACCAAATGGCCTGACGCCACCACACTTGTATTTTATATCTACCTTTGTTTTCTAGTTTTTCTGTATCCCTCTCTGCTTTCTGCTGCCACTTCTTATTATTGTCTACCTGTAAACATTCTTCCTCTTTCTGTTTGTGATTCTAATCTGTCTTGAAAATCATGTAAGTAAGCTTGCCAGCAAAGGAAGTTCTGAACTGGGGGCCCTGGAAGGTTCTTCTGAATTGTATCAATAAATTATTAGTACAATGAGCTAATATTAGTACAATCACTAAATCACTATACAGTCATTTATTTTTGGTACTCAAAAGGTCTATTCTTTTCTCCAAACAACTTGCTGGGATAGCTGGGTTTCAGAAAGTGAGGTATTATTGTGGAAGGTGCTTAGAAGGAAGAAGGAAACGAGGACTCTAAGCGTTCCTTCTGCATCTGACGTTTTCCGAAAGCTATGTGAGTAGACACACTAGGATTGTTCCTGTTCCTGATGTCCAAGTTTTTCTTCCTACAGACAAGTGCTAGTCCGTGGCAGACATTTAGCATCTGCAGTTAACTCTAGGGGGAAAGAGAACGAAGGGCCTCAGCTAGCACTGAGTCATTCACTTAGCAGGAGAGTATTTTTCTTAATTCCCTAAAACCATTTTGAAAAGCATCCTGGGATCTGTCAACCGTGGCATTATGTTTTAAACTGGGCAAGTCGTTCTCCAACTTTAGAATCCATATAAAACACCTGAGGAGCTAGTGAGCTGTAAGATTCCTTGAGAACCACCAGAAAGTCTTGTTCAGTAATTCTGGGATTGGACTCAGGAATCTACCTTTTTAACAAGCACCGCCATGTGATTTTGATGTAAAACACTGATCTGGACAGCATAGTTCATCGGCTCCTCTCAAAAGGAACCATCTCTAGTTCATTCGGTCACTGCAGTTGTTCTAGAACAGAAGCGTAGCATTCTCTCATTTAAGCACTGAAGTGTTCAAGTGTTAATCCCATTGGTGCTCACAGCTCGTTGGCCAGCACTAGTTTCTAGGCCCTGCCCAACCCCAGGGAAAGCAGCAAGTGGAGGATGGACTTTCATGGACCTGGATGGAGAGCAGAACTGGGGGAAAGCAAGCGGACTGATGTCTCCCACACCATCGCGCCTTCTGCTCAGATTCTTCTCCATTCATTACGGACTAATCATTCCATAGTATGGAAGAACAGTGCTTTAGATTCCTATCGGCAGAGAACTATGATTAAACCCCCCTGAGATGAGCTCAAGGAGTACCAGCTCTTTGGACAAAGGAAGTTGAGGGTCAGTGTGGGCCTGGCAGGTTGCCTGGTGTGGTGTCACTTTTGGGAGCCTCAAGTGGTGGCAAGAGATTGGCCCTGCACCTGCAAGTCCCTGACCTTCAATTGAAGGAAGGAGCTCTGGAAGTACAGAGAGAGCTGCCTTACTGCATCACCTGAGAAATGGAGGAAGGCTTGCCAAGGGGCAGGATGTCAGTGAGCGCTGTTTGAGAATACCGGGCAGCCACTCTTCTCTGCCCATCACTCCATCCTTATTGGCCACCTTGTTATTCCACAAACATGCAAGTCCACTTCCATCTCAGACCTGTGCATACACTGGCATTCCTCTTCCTGGAGTGCTTGGGTCCACACATTCACATGGCTTGCTTCTGTTCTTCATTTCAAGTTTTTACTCCAATGTCACCACCTTCGAGAGGACTTCCCTTCACCACTATCTAAAATAGACGCTCTTAAATCATTCTCAGTCACCTTTACTTCCCTTTATTTTCTTATGTTCTATGTTAATTATATCTCCTCTAGAATGTGAACTCCAAGAGGACAGGGACTTTCTCTTGTTTGCTGCTATACCCGAGTGCCTTAAACAAAGCCCATATAGTATAATAGGTGCATCAGTATAAAGCAGTGAATCATTGCTTTGAAACCCTTTGTATTGGGGACTGGAATATAATGGGTTAGCTTTCTTCAGTACCAAAAATGAATTCAACATCACTTGTGTGGTTTACATTTGGACTACTGTGTTGGTTGCTGGTACGAGAAGGAAAGACAAGTAGGCTTAGGTTATCTCAGGTTCAACTGTCAGAAGGACTAGACCCTTTGAGATTTGGTCAGAAAATCTTTCTGAATGGGGTCACTGTTAAGAAGTGTTTGGAAAGTAGTAAAGGGAGAGTTAACTTGGGGGAGAGGAGGGGAGATGCTCTATATGCCCAGAAAAGATTTTTTCCAACACTCCCATCCATCCTAGAAAGCCACTTCTCAGGATGTGGGCCTGAGAAGAGGTAACGGACCCTATTTCTCCCAGGCAATAGCAGCTTTGGAAGAGAAGGGAAAACCAAGGCGTGGACAGTTTTCAACAAACATATAAAACCTGTGTACCAAGGGATGGTAGTCAAGGGATGCATAATTCAGCCCCTGAATGACCTGCTTCTCTAAGTCATATGAGTTTTAGAGGGGGTGACTAAAATGGTAGTAATGACTTCAGTGATGTTCCCTACAGGATAGACTTACTGGGACTCCAATCCTCCAAATGCCTCATGATCCCAAAAGCCTCAGAACTCTTTGAAAGCTGTTGCCATTGCTCTGTTTCCTTGTGGCCTGGCCCCTCCTGATACAGAGACTACCCTCCCCATTGGTGGTCCTCTCTGTGCCGTTGCCCTGTTTCATTGTCACCTGGCCCCTCCTGATACAGAGGCTACCCTCCCTGTTGGTGGTTCTCTCTGTGCCGTTGCCCTG